AATAATAGCTATAAGAAGAAGAAGAATTGTAATAATAATAATAGTAATTGTAATAATAATAATAGTAGTAATAATAATAATAATTTTAATAATAATAATAAATAATATTAATAGTAATTAATAATAATTATAATAATAGTAATAAAAAAAATAATAATAATAATGAATAATAGTTATAATAATAGTAATAATTAATAATAATAATAATAGTAATAGTAATAATAATACTGCACTAAAAGTGTTCTCAAGTCCAGGGAAGCTTAGCACAGTTACAGTGATGCGAGTGTTTGTAGTTCAGTGCTCATTGCTTTCATGTGTATGAAGTGTTTGTGAAAGCAGTTCTCCATCTGATCTCAGGTCAGTGATCAGCTGCAGGAGAACCAGCGGCTCTGGAAGGCCATCGAGAAGCTCAGAGCGGATGCTGGACTGCAGAATCACCATGACGACTGAAGGATGACCTGTGTCCGAGTCATCATCAGACTGAAGCTGCTGAAGGCCAGCCAGAGCCCTAATGCTTCATAGTGCTGTGTGTGTGTGCGTGTGTGTGCGTGTGTGTGTGTGTGTGTGTGTGTGTGTGTGTGTGTGTGTGTGTGTTTGTGTGTGTGTGTGTGTGTGTGTGTGTGTGTGTGTGTGTGTGTGTGTGTGTGCGGTACTGACATTAGATCTGGGAACAACATTGATAAATAGCAGATTAATGATGAGTCAATCCCTGCAGATGCATGTGTCGTCAAGCAGCTCGCTCTATATGCTCCACACTGACCTTCTTTAAAGCACGACAGTAGTAAAGGGGTAGTTCACCCTAAAATGGAGACTTAATCACCGTTTACTCGCACTCCAGCGGTTTCAATCCTATATGTGTTCCTTCTGTTAAACACAAAAGAAGATATTGTGAAGAATGCTGACTCCCATAGTCAGAATATCAAACACTGTGGAGGTCAATGGTTACAGGTTTTCAGCATTCTTCAAAATATCTTCTTTTGTGTTGACAGAGAAACTGAAGCTCTGTTGAGTGATGACAGAATGCTCGTTATTGCTGAAGTGCACGTCAGTATATCAGTGTTCATGACGACTGGACAGTGTTTTAATGTTCTCTTCCTCTGTAGGCAGGTCTAATGTTCAGTCCGGGGTGTTATATCTCCTTCATCATGTGTGAATGTGAAGCCCAGCACTCTCTGTGTGCTCTTCTTATGCGGTAAGGGTGTCTGGATGTTTGTCCACATGTTGACTGAAGGGTTTACAGTCCTTTCACATCATATCAGAGTGTGTTTGTTGGTCGTACACATGTCAGAACTACTGAATTTGTTTTTGATGTGTGTTGATAGTATTCTAGTGTACTCCATGTTGCCAAATATAGTGAAACCACACCGAGTGCATCGTGCTGATCTGCTCTGTCGCACAGGGAAATGCAGCGCGAGCGGTGCTTTCTCAGCCTTTCTCTCATATTTGCATGTTCTAAGCAGTTGCAACCAAAGGTGTGTGTGTGTGTGTGTGTGTGTGTGTGTGTGTGTGTGTGTGTGTGTGTGTGTGTATTATATCAGAATTTTTATATTTGACTCTGTTCTATCATCTGTAACGGTTTGATCTCGTTTTGGGACACGCTCTTAATGTGTTTAATGCTTTATACACCCGTATCAGACACTGATGCACATTTATAAATAAAAGGCACATTGTCACGCTGATGTTGGGCTGATTTTAAAATGCTGTACAGAATTTGTGTATGTGAGAGAGAGAATTTCTTTAGTTTATTTTGTCAAACTGTGATCAGTCTTTTGGGCTTTGTTTTTATTTTTATCTTTTAAATACATTAGTTGTACACGCCTAACTTAGAAACTCGGTTTTATAGTTATTATTTAGTAGATAAATTCAACACTGATCTGATCTCGTTGTACGCATGCGCATCAAATCAGAGATTTGGGAGAGTCGACCACGTCCTCAACGCTGGAAAACCCGGATCCGTTTGGTCAATCGGTTCGTTCGAACAGTTCATTTCAACGAAGTGATTCACAACCCAGGCGTCACTGGAAAAGCTCTCAGGAGGTTTAGTGTGGAGTTTCGGTGTATTTTTGTATTTAAACGATTCTTTAAACCTCATACGTGTGTGTTTTTATTCAGTTTGAGTTTCTTTGTAGAGATTTTCGCAATGTTTACAAAAGGAGCGTGGTATTACCATAGAATAGACTATAGAAGTGATCACGTTACAGTCACAATCTGGAGAAGCCGTGAGTGGGGCGGGAAGTACAGCGGGATTTCTATCTGATTTTCCAGGTATAGTGCAAATCTCGCTCCATTCACCAGTGAACACGGTTATCTTATCTTATTGAGTCCTTGTAATATGGAGTATTTATGCTTCATTATCAGGTTATGCGTATTCATGAAAATAATCGGAATAACCATATTATAATGTTAATTCTTAACTCTGAGATCATGTTGTTGTAATCTCAGTTTTACTCTGATCCGGGAGTCCAGTCCGCAAACAATTCGCGATTCGGCTCGCTCGAATCATTTAAAGGAATCTGTTCACACGAGTCCCTCCTGAACCGGGCGTCACAGTCAGCGTCGGGATAACGGGATCTGCGTTCCGGCGACTGGGCGATGCTTGAGCCGGGAACCCAAACAAACCGCAGTCGCCGGTTCAGCGTGGAGCTGTGCGTGAACGGATAAACAATCGAGCCGGACAGATGAACGGACCGAGCGACCGACCGCGCGCCGATGACGTCAGAGGAGCTTCCGAGCCCGCATTGTCCGCCGATTATTATCAGTCACCCGGTAATTAACGCTCCTCCTGAGATACTTTCACATCCTTCATTGCGATGAGATGCTGATTATCGACAGACGCGCTGTGTTCTGTGTGAGAGTCTGTAATCCTCATCAGAATCAGTGTGTTCTGCTCCTCTGACAGGGTCATGTGCTTTCTGGACTGAAGACCAGCATCAGCGGTGTTTTCCCTCATCCGAGTTCCTCCTGCGGATCAGTGTGTGTGTGTGTGTGTGTGTGTGTGTGTTTCAGACACCCTGATCTGCCCCGGTCATTAGCAGCCGTTCGGTGGACGTTTGATTAATGTTACGTTAACGTTATAAAGAGGTTTTCCTCGTTCCGCGGATTTCAGACATCCACATTCAGGAGATGCTCCATTGTGTCTGTCTGCTGACTGTTCTCCAAGCAGTGCTGATGTTTAAA